GAATGGGGAAAAGGCTGGAATACTGCTTGCTTCCACAACGCTCTTATACTACGGGGGGCGGGGGGTAGGGGGAAGCAGCGCCCTTACAGTGGGAATGGGAGAAGCTGAGATTTTGCTCTGTAGGCAGGTTTTGAAGACAGGGTACAGGGTACAGGACAACGAGAATACAAGTCAAAAAGTCGAGGCAAAGGCTGGAGTTGATAGAAAAGAGAAACAAAACAGCACTATAAGGAAAAATAAAGTAGACCTGGACTCAATTAAAAGTAAAAAAGTGAGCCTACGCGAGTGGACACTGTTCTTTAAAAAAACCTGCCATCAGCAGGAGTTTCCCCATTTATAAAGTTGGTGTTAAGGTAAAGCTAAGGGCAGGAAAAATCCCTGTATGTTACGAACTGAAGAGGGGTAGACTGGATGCATGAGGACGGAGTATGCCTTTGCTTCTGTGAAACTTTGGAGATAAAAAAACATAGAATTTTTGTGCAGTCAAACTTATTTGCTCTCAACTTTACTTAAGCATCAGCTTCGCAGATAAGGAAGCCTACAACTGAAGACGAGTTTTCGTAAGAAAATTTCCACCCACACAGTCTCAGTTTTCACCTTGCTTTTGATTTTATTCATGGGACCTGATTTTTTGACTTCGCTTTTTTTCTATAAGTTCAGCTTTAGATTAACTTTTCTTTGTAGTGGTGTTTCCTCCTCTTTATTACTGCCTTCAGTTCTTGTCCCGAAACCCTGACTCGTTACCTTGTTCCCCTTATCTTTCCCGTTCAAAATTCCTCACTTTGGTGCAGCATTTGGACACCTACTAAACTCCTCCCTTTCCCCGTTCGCTTCCCCTCCCACAATCTTGTCCAGCCACCGAGCGCTGGGCAAGTTTACCAGCGCTTGCTGGCAAAACGCTAAAAAATACCGGCTAGTGACGTCACGAAATAGCATTAGCAGAGAAACGACAGCGTCTCTCACTGGTAATTGCCCCACTACAGTCACTGTCCTAAAAGCTTCTTGAAGTCGGCTTGTGTACTGCTATGCAAGAGCCACACAAAGAGAATCAACAAGCCGTTTTGCAAACTTCTCCTGACTCATCATGCTTTATGGTAGAAGTTCACACGTAACAATTAAAGCAAAACGTACATGATACTGCTAACTGGCCGATTCGATAAATAAGAAGCAATAAACGTTTTGGTGCTATTCATCCGCACCAGTCGAAGGTCTGAAAAAAACTTGGAAACAAAACGCTTAGAGGATGGGGATCTCAAGCAGTCCAATCAACAGCACTTCAAAAAACTGCAGTGAACATCACAATAATTTTATCTGCACAGACCCGATGCCGCAGAGGCAACGAAGGTAATACCTTTCGCATGTGCGCCGTAAGCTTTCAAAAGTTGCTTTAACTCCAAATAAATCAAAAAACTTACTACGTATTAAAGGTTCTACCGAACGCCGAAATTTCTGAAATTCTTTCGCATCCAGTTGCGGGATGGAAGCTTTCGAATCCGATGTGTATAACTCGGCAACAAAGTCCATTAATCTGCCCTCGTTGAAGAACGGCGCTTTCTTCGCTGAATAAAAGAAAAGAGCAAAAATATATTCACGAATTATCAGTTTCCTGAATAAAAAGAGCAGAAGAGCTTGACCAACGTCATCATCTTTCTCTACCCCGTTGTCCGATCGGTGAGAAATACAACAGTCGATTTCAGATAAAAAATCAGCAACAAACTGGGTAAAATCAATAAAAAGCAAAAGAATGACATTCAGTCAAAGAGAAATATTAAAACCCCCAAAGCAGCAAGACAGGCTAACAAAGAAATGGGAGAATGCTTGTTGTGGATGAAAGCTAACTTCAAAAGGAATTTCCATTTTACAAATCAAATGCGATGATTAGACATTTCTTGTAAAGGTACTGGAGCAGCTGTATTTAAGGCACTAAGAAAAAACATACTATCAAGCACCAGCGCAGGCACGATGCCGCCAGTTGATGAGTCTCCTTCGATGAAGCGGATGCCTTTGTCCACACCCGTTACCAATTTCATGCCACGATTCAGATTCAGTACTTTGCCTTTCTCCTGATAAAGCCGTCCATAACCAAACGCAAAATATGACCCACTGCAAGTAACAGCGATGTTTTACGGACAAGAAACACCTAAGAACCAAGCAAAACCAACGAAATATGCAGTTGCCCTTGTTCTCATATATTCCAGACATAAGTCGCAGACGTCAATTTCATGCATACGAGTTAATATATGTACAACGGATATATTCAAAGCAGCCCATGTAGCCCAAATCAAGAGTTAAATGAATACCAGCAGTGCTCCTACGCAACTGTTAGAACCTGGCTCGCCTAGGTCCGACTTCGCCGCCATTGAAAGGCACCTTCGTTTCTCTGCTAATGATATTTTGGGGCATCGCTTGTCGGCACCGCCTGAGGTGATACTAGCGAACGTTGGGTAGTGTTTCTCGAGTGCAACCCAACGTTCGGTAGCAGGATTGAGGTGACTGGGGAGAAGGGGAGGGGAGTGGGTGGAGGGCTGGAACACGGTTGGGGATGGTGGATTATGGGAGCTCAGATGCACTGCCGAGACAAGACAATTGGAGGCAGGGCAGAGGAAGCGAAAACTTTCGTGCTCTTACGTGGGTACTACGCGTGTCTGAGTATCGCGTTTGAAATCTGGACGGAAAGCATCTCGTCAAAACTCTCCGATTTGGTAATTTCTCCACCGAAAATTCCATGCGCTCATACACGAGTACCATGTGTGTCTGGGCGCTGAATTTGAA